CCAAGCCCCTCTCTTCCAAGTCGTAGATAATGGGACCTTCTTCCTGACATTTTCTTGGAAGCCTAAGGTCCTGACTATAGGCTCCGAGGCCACTAATGCCAGGCCCCGGCCAGATGGCTAGAACCTCGCCACATTTGTTATTAGAAAAATAACTGTTGCCTGGCTTTACACATTTTCTTTAATACAGTAGTGCATTAAGTTAAATTGCATTTCAAAAGCCATTCTCTACCCCAGAAGTCTCTTCTACTAGGTTGGGAAGGAGGGGCTAGTAGCAGCTCCTAGCTGTCATTGCCCAGGGCCTCAGGAGAAATCAGCAGGCTAGCTGGGTGGGAGAAAGGAGGAAAGTAGTCACTGGTTTCCCAGGTTGTAGCTGGTATCTCTGGGCACAGTGTGGGGCCTGAGACCTGCCGTCCTGCTGTGGTCTCATTGCCCCAGGCTCTTCCATCTTAGCACTCCTGGATGAGAGGTGTGGTAAAGGGAGCATCAGCTCTCAGGTCACATCGATGATTCCTCATGAAGACATTTACTTCACCTCTTTAAACTTGGTAGTTTCTTTTAGTAAGATCAAAATAGACACAGATTCACGTAACTATTGTAAAGATTAGATAGTGTCATCAAGGGCCTGTCACTTAGAGGTATGAAACGGTGGTCTTTCCTGGCTTTTTCTTGACATAAAATGTGATAACCCTAACTTGCAAGATTTTTTCCCCCCCCCCTAGGAATTAACTCTGTCTACTTGACTGGCTCATCTCCCTCCTGTCCACCCTAATAAGAAAATAGCTAATATTTCTTAAATAATTGCTAACATTTTTGCATTATCTCATTTAATCCTCCCAACAACCCCATGGAATAAGCACCATTATTGTCTCCTTTTCAGGTGTGAAAACCATAGCTTGGTGAGGTTGGGTACTTGTTTAAGGTGGCATAGTTGATAAGTAGGGAGTGGAGAGTAAGGATTCACATTCAAGTGTGCCTGACTGCAGGTCTCAGCCACTTGCCTACCTCACAACACACCTCTAACTGTAGGCCAGCAAACTCAAACAGCTATCCATAGACAGTGTGTGCCAGACATTGCAACAGATTTACCTGAAGTCACATGTAAAGTAATACAGGTAGCAAAATGATATATGTGTACAGGACATAATAGAGATCTTCCTCTGGGAAATTTGGTAATGTTTGACCCAGCAGGTACACAGAGTTCCATGCTACAAGATGAGCCAGAGTAGCAGACAAAAAGAAAAAGGATATTAAAAGTGGAGGGATCAATGTTAGCAAAGGCATTTTTTTAAAAAAGGTAATTTTAGGGGACTCCAAGAGTTGCTCTACCAGAAATGCAATTTGCATGAGCATCATAAGGTAGTGGGGGCTGGCCTGGCCATGAGGACCTTTCATGCTATACTGAGGACCTTGTGGATTAGCCTAGAGATGTCAGCAATCATTGATGGGTTTTAAATAGAGGGAAGACATATTTTCAGATAGATTGCCCTTTGTGTTATATAGAGAATGGATGAGATGGGAGAGAAACTGGAGGCAGGGGAACTCTGTGGGACAATATTGCAAATCGTCCAAGCAAAGATGATGAAGACTTGAACTGCAACTGCCAGAAGATGGAGACAAAAGTAGGGACACCTGTGCTGTTAAGGAGGCAGCCTCTATGACCTGGGGTACCAGGATGATGTAGAAGATGAAGGAAGCAGAGTATGTGGCATGACCAAGGGGATGGTGCTACCAAAGAGGGGAAACCTGGTATAACAGGGTCCACTTCATGCTTTGAATCTAACCTTTGCTGTTCTGCCATTGTGGCTCATTTTAAAACCAACTTTTTCCCCCCCTTCTTTTCTCCCTCTGTAGCGGCATCCCCTTTCTCCACAGAAAATCTTAACTGGGCTTCTCCAGAATTCTTCACCATGGCTGTTTTTAGGACTGTCAGCAAAAGAGTCTCTACAAAAGAGTTCAATGTAGATAAACTTCCTATTTTCGTGTTGCTCTGTCTCACTTGGCTACTAGCCTGGAAGAAATCGCAATCCAGGTGCTGGGCACTCCCTTACTAGTTTTTCACAAACATGTATTCAGTATAGTAGTTTGTAGAAATGTGGGAGAGAGGCAGAAAGATGGGAGAGTCTGAGAGGGCAAGGAAACCACAAAAAAACCCTGGAGGGATGGGGCCATGGATAATCAGAACATGATGTCCTGGAGTATCAAAGCCATTTTAGCTGATAACCAGGTACGTGGTTTGAGTGAGGGCATGAGTAAGATTACTGAACTCAGGAGATCAAGGATTTCAAAAGCCGTGCACAGGTTGGGGATGTAGCTCAGTGGTAGGACACTTAGCTAGCATACATACGGCCCTGGGTTCCATTACCCATACTGGAGGGGTAGGGATGAACACAGCAGCATAGAAGTCATACACTAGCCAGTATATAATACTGCCTACTTTAAAAGGCTTACAAACAACTTAAAAGAGAAGACATGCATATACAAAGCAGGTGTGCCTCAGGATATAAGATTATGGTCACCTGGGGAATCACAGAGGGCTGTGCTGAGCAGATACTAATTAAAATGGGCATTAGAGAATAATGGACAATATTTGGCAATGCAAAAATTAGAGGAAGCAAGCTCAAGAAAATAGCATGTTGACTCACTTGTTCCAAAAATATTCTAATTAGTCTTCTTGACACCTGGTTCCCCCAAGAAGCTGAAACAGAATAAACAATGTGGCTTTTAATCCTAGCTATTCTGCTTCAAAGTTAGTAATGTTGGTCACATCACAACACTTTTGAGCCTTAGTTTTCTCAACTGGATAATATGGATAAGGATATTGTTTTCAGTTATAGGACTAAATGAGAAAGTGATTTGTAAACAGTATAGATCAAGGATTCCCAGACCTGCCTAAATGTTAAAATTTCCTGGAATTCTTGCTAAGGGAAAAAAAGCAGAATAAAAAAAAAAAACTAGATTTCTGGAGGACACAGCCATAACCACAGGAGGAAGCAGGAAAGATGATTCCAGATCTCTCTCCTCCTATCTACTATCAGTGTCCCCACTGACAGACCTAACACAAAGCTGGCCAGCTAGTGACCTAAGTCATTCTTCTGGATGATACTGAACAAACAGAATAATTACTACTCTCATCAGAATCTTCCAGTGAGGATTTTGGCCTACCAAAAAAAGCCTAATCTCCCTAGGCAAAGAAGTTCAAGCACCTTCATAATCTACACCATCTTCAGGATTTTTCTTTTGAGACCAGAGGCTGAAATGGGAGTCAATTGGTGTCACTTGTTTTCGTTCCACTGCATCTCCTTGTGACTTTCCACCTACTGGAATCCTCTCCCTAGCCTCATCTCTCCTGGAAGGTCCTGCTTGGCCTTGATTCAAGGTCTAATCTCAGGTCAGTGTCCTCCAAGATGGCATCTCTGGTATCTCCTACTGGGAGGAGCTTTCCTTTCCCTCTACTATGCAGATGGCATTTGTACCACCTATATGCTTCCCCACATATACCCACTCCTGCCATCCATCCCCACCTTTCCCTGGGGCAAAGTCATATGTGACCATGTTTTACCTCCCTCATTGGACTGAAAGCCTTTTGAGGGTGTAAACTACCCAATATGCCTTACATTCCTCAGCTCTCAACATGGAATGGGCTCGAGATAACTCCCCTTCTTTTAACTAGCTCACAGACTCCCATGCCTTCTTTGAGATCCAATTCAAATGCCAACTCCTCTATCTCCTCCAAGAAGAGCTAATTTGCCTTCCCCTTTCCCTGCCATAGTTCTGTATACAGTCTACTTGCCCCACAATGAGATAGCATCCTGGTTAGGAGCACTTACTCTCTAAACTGTCTGTGTGGGTACAAACCCTGGTGATCTATAAAGCAAAAGCTATTTGATGTTGACAAATTTCAGTGCCAGTTTCTTCATAGTACCTATCATAGGAAATGAATTCATCTATGTAAAGCACTTAGGCCACTGCTGAATATGTATATTAAATGTGTAATAAATGTTAGCTATTAATATTATCATGTAACTCTAAGCTCCTTGAAGGCAGGACCCATGTCTTGATCTTTGATTCCTAGTGTCTAGATAATACTCCTGGTATAAACTGGGTGCTCAATATATGCTTGTTGATTGCATGAATGGCCATTTCATGTTCAGTAAATATTGGGACGGTGGGTAGGAGGGTGGGTATATGGATGGATAGATGGTCAAATGGTAGCTACTTTGCATGAATAAGTGAATCAGCAGGTATTTAATACATATAGTTCCCTTAGTTTATTGCTTAAAACAAATGAGGGAATGAGGGAATGAATGAATAATAGTTATTTAATAAGAAGGTTGATTAGTTGCATGGTTGAATTAACAAACAGATTTTCCACAAATAGCAGATGTTCCATAAAAGTTGGCTGGTTGCATGAGTGAACAAATAGCCCTAAAATGTGAAAGCAGCCTGCAGTCAAAGCTGAGAGGATGCAGCTAGAGTACTGGTCAGAGGGAGAGGAGTGAGTGATAGAACCTGTCCCTCAATAACTGCCATAGGAACTGTACCCTTACCCTACCATTTCTGAAGCCCTCTGTTTTTGAATCTGACACCTATTTTTGCACACTGCATAGTGCTGCATGGTGATACAGAAACCTGGGGGTGGAGAGAAGGGCTGGAAATTATCTGACCTCACCTTCTTGCCTCCAGAAGAGGACCAGCCTCCAGCATCCTGCACCACCAAGGACTAGCCTCCATGATCTGCCTCAGGTGAGGAGGGAGACCCTCAACTCACTACACATTAGGAGCAACTCCTGTATTAGTCCTGGGAGCAGGAATATAAGCTGAATGCCTCATATCCTTGGCCCCATTCCCTGGCCCTGCAGTTCCCCTGAGTCAGCCCCAGAAACTCACGTCTCTAGTTAATGAATTATTTCGCAACACGCCTGGAGATGCATGAACTAGAAATCTACACATGTTGGAGGATTTGCCATTTCCATTAAATATGCCATTCATTTGGTGGGTAATTAAATGTGCAATAATTGGCTTTAATTTCCATCTTAAATGATTTCCTAGGAGCAGTAGAAAGGGAGATGCAGGGTGTAATTTTCTGAAAGAGTCCCCCCACCCCCTGAAAGCTTTTCAGCACATAGAAGAAGAGGGAAATGAGTAAAATGAAGTTGTTTTTGATACTGCACCACATGTGAGTCATCTGTAATTGCCCCCCCCATGGAGAAAGAGATTGACGCCTGCAACATGACAGCACCCCACCCCCAAAGCCCTGGAGCAGCCTAGGGAAGGGCATCCCAGGAGTCTGAACTTAAGGAAGAGGAGAGAGGTTGGGCAGGAGCAGAGGCTGTGGTGTGGTGTGGAGGATCCTGCCACAGCTCTGGGGGTCATGAGCCTCCTTCCATGCTTCCTGTCTCTCCATGCTTCCCACACTGTGCTGTGTGTTAGCATACACATGCACGCACACGTGCGCAGACATACACACAATCATGGGCTTTGCCTTCCAATTCTAGAAGCACCATTCAGAGCCAGCCATAGCCTGGTGGACAGGAAGCCAGGGAAAAGGAGTGGAGGAGGGATCCATGCCTTCTGGAATGAAAAGGGTCAGTGTGTATTGCCCACCCCGTGAAAGAAGCATGGCTTCAAATTCGAGTTTTATCACTACCTGTGAGAATACGGTTAAGTTACTGAGCTTCTCTGGGTTTCAGTTTCCCCCTCTGTAAGATGAAAACAGTCAAACCTGACTTATAAAATAACAATCAAAGGGCAAACCACATGTACAGCCCTGGCACAGAGTAGTGAGCTCTCAGCATACCTGATTCCCTCTGACCCTTCTCTCCCTTCTCTGGGGTGGAGGGTCAGCCTAGTCAAGGCCAATGTGTAGCTCACTGATTCCTGGAGGAGCTACTCACCCCTGAGAGATGCCTCCATTCCTGCCCACCTTTGCAGCATCACCTCTCCTACTGGTTTGCCTCCATTTCACACCATCCCTCATCCCTTCTGTAGATGCTCATGCAATTGCATGAGTCCTCTGGATTTTCCTGAGGCAGAGCTGAGATTTGCAGAGACTGAAGAGGTTCTGAAGGAACTGGGCTCCCAATGTGCATACACAAGTAGCACCACAAGTTGGGGGGGTGGAAAAAGCAAGGCTGGGGCCACCTCACTTTTGTTGCCTGGTCTGGAGTGAGTTCATAACCTTCCTCTTCAGCACTTGGAGGCATCCAAGCATTAGCAGGGCTTCTCCACTTCCATGGCCACTCCCATGGCCATGACTATGGATGCCCCAATTGGAAAGGCTATCACTGATCGGTGCTTCTCAGCCCCCAGGTCTCTTCAAAGGAGCTCTCTGGTTCTGTTCAGCTTGTCAGTACCTCTGTATGTAGATGAGGGTGCAGAGAGGAGGCTGAGGGAAGCAATAAATCCAGCTCTCTCCCTGCTTCTCTGGCTAGTCTGCATTCTGGGCATCTGGAAAGGAGATAAGTAAATAACTTTGAGAATACATCCTGGGGTATCTTAGGATCTCAAGCTGGGAAATGGACTGTGTAATAGCTAAGCTGGAAGCAGGCCTGGGGTTTAGCTGGGGTGAAGGCAAAATGAAAAGAAATTATCTGACTGACTAACTGCAGAGGCTCCACTCAAATTAAAAGGTATATGGATTAAGGTGTGCTGAGAGTAGAACTGGGGTCCTACATGAGGCAAGATCAGACTCGGAGTAAAAGGAACCCAAGGAACATAATGAGTCATAGAGCCTGGGCCCCGATTGATGGAGAAAAGGGACAGCATATAATTCCCTCAAGCCACTCGGGGTCTCTCCAAAGTTCTTCCATGTATTTATTCTTTCAAGCAATTATTCTTCACTGACTCAATTAACTCATGCAATATTTTTGGATTGTCAACTGTATATGGAGCAGATGACTCATATAATAAACATATTACAAGTTTTAAAGTCAAGCAGACCTGGCTCATGTCTCTGCTATCTATATTTTGGTTATAGGACTCTAACAAGTTACTTAAATCTAGAATAAGACTGTTGTGAAGACCAAATGACAAAATTCCTACAAAGTGCTTAGTGTGATGGCTGTCATTTGGTTTTTCCATTACCCAAAAATTTATCATTGTTGATACTATGACAGCAGTGTACTAAGACCTTAAAAATGCTCCAAACATGTGATTATCCCCTTGAACAATCACTGCATAAAATCTACTTTATATACAATTATGTCCCCCAGGAAGAAAGCATTCTGACCCTTTTGTTGTCTACGAGCATCCACCATAGGGTTTTGCACATGGTAGAAGCTGTAGATCTTTGACAAACGGGGCTAAATTCTCTAATGACCAAAGATAAATCATTTCTGCAAGGATTAATATTGGACACTATTGCATTATACAGGGATGCTGGATTAACAAAATGGCTATATAAGCTTAGGCATTGAAATTTAGCCTACCCATAAAATCTAGGTTTGAACAGTCCCCAGAGGTTGCCTTTGCAGTTATTTGTTTGGGAAAAAATAATTAATAGAGCAAAAAACATTACATGTAGGCTATCAGGTATTGGTGTTATCGTGTTCCTCTCTCATCATTTGTGCAATCCCCTCTGGAAGAATGCTGACCTGCAAAGAAATTCCACAAGGAAAGAGAGAAGTACTGAAGAGTAGGTGGGCAGGCTGGGAGGCTCCTCCTACAGTCCCACACCATAAAGCAGGAAGGGACTTAAAGACCACCTACATTCTTCCCACCTGTCTCACAAATAACACAAGAGCCAAAAAGACTCTGTGATTTGGCGAAGGCCACCAGCTCATTAGTGACAGGACTAGGATAAAATATGGTCTCCTGACTCCACTTCATTGATCTTTCCCCTGCACACAGCTGTCACCCTCTCTGAACATGAATTCATCTGCAGCAAGAAGTGACTGCCTTTCTTCCCAACCAGGCCAAAGGGAATTGAATAACATCACCTAGCAAAAGACGTTCATATACAACTTCTTGTCAGATAGTGACCACAGGGGCATGGCGGCCCTAAAAACAGATCCTACTAAGCAGTTCTGCTTTTCAGCCTGCTCCACAGCCATCCCTCTCTTCCCTGGCTTTTCTGGTTCAAAGGAAGTGAGGTTGTTAAGCATGTTTACATCCACAATTAAGCCAGCTGTGCAGGAGAATTAGTCCTGGAGACTATTAGAACTAACACATGCTTTTAATCATGAAAACAGAAACATTTCAGTGAGGTACTTTCAGCAGTTATTAAAAAAAAAAACTAGGAGGAGATTGAGGGAGGGGCAGGAGAGACCTCAGGGACAAAGCTCTCCTAAGGGCCTCCTCAGATGAAAGAGGAATTAATAGAGACTCAGCTCCCTTCTCTTCCAGCCTCGCCACCTCCATTCCTGGGAAGATACAGGTCAGCGATGCAGAGCAGCCAAACTGGCTGTGGTCCTTGGGGAGTGAAGTAAAAAAGTTAAGGGATTGGGGAGCTACCTGTAGATGAATAACATTTGAATCTAGTTCCTTCCGCCCATCCCCTTAGTGTCTTAATCCCCGTTTGGGGCCTCCACTATCTCCACTCCCCACACCCCGATATCTCAGGCTCCACTCCCTTCTTCAGAAGCATTTGTCTAAGTCCACACTGTTCTTTCTGATAATTGTTAGAAACTCTCAAGTGCTAATTAAATTTTCTGTCTAGGGCCTGATACAAGTCCTAATGTGTAGCAAGCATTTAAATAAGTTAAGCAACTGGTAACTTGTAAGCATAAGTATTTATGTCCAGGGAAATTTTATAGTTTCATTCTATAATTCTGTCATATCTTTACAAAAATGTGTAGCACCAACTGTGGGTAGCAATGGGCATCATTTTTCAGATGAGAAAACTGAAGTTTGAATCAGTGAAAACAAATTGCCCAGAATTACCCAGTCAGTGGTAGGGAAAAGCCAAGAATCCAGCAGGTTTTGTGCCCTAGAGTCTCACACTCTTTTGGTGACAAGAGGTGCCTGCCCTGAGATGTGAAAGTCTGTAGAACTCTCCCAGAACTCTCCTCTTACCTTGAGGCCGTGAACATTGTTGGAGTTCATTGTCTAAGTAAGACAAACCAACTTGACATATTAGACTTTGGAAGTTGTTTTCTCACAGGGCAGGGTGGTGAGTAAGCCCATGGGTGGAAGTGGGGACTACAACATAGCAGATGGAGGTAGAAAAGGACAAGAAAATAGCACAATAAACAAGGCAATGTCACATAGTGTTTAAAACTGCAAAGGTTGTCCCAAATAGAGGATCTTGGGGAGAAATACAAGGCAAAATGCACCAATGGAACTGAGGCTTGGGTTATAGGAGGCAGAGTCTAAGTGCCCAAATTCAGGGAAGAGAAAGAACAGGCTAGATGAAGAAGTCTGAGATGCCTCAAGGAACTCGCCCCCGCATGAGGCCTTGAAGAAAGGTTAGAATTTGGTTAGATGACGGGACTGGGGATTTCTAAATATGACGTACAAAGCAAGAGAAAAGGAGGTAAAGAAGTTTTTTTTGAGCAACCATTATATGTCAGGACCATGCCGGATGCTATTATATCCTACTAATGGAGTTCACTCTGCAAAGAGAGAATGAGCACAATGTGGGCTACTGTGACAGGAGAAAGGTCAGACTACCGAAGACAGCTCAGGTAGGAGAAGACTGAAACAGACAAAGAGGCTCACAATAGAGCAGACCTTAAATGTCTGACTCAGAAAACTTCCCTGACTTGCTACAGCACTCTTTGGTGACTGCTTTGTAATTTATGGTAGGCCATGAGCTACCTGAAATTGGGGATTGTTTCACACAACATTGCAGTGGTCCTCTAAACTTTAGTACACATCAGAATCACCTGGAGAGTTTGTGAAAATATTGATTATGGGCCCCTACCCAGAGTTTCTGATTTCAAAGGACTTATATTAGCCTGAGAATTCACATGTCTAACACATTCTCAATCTCACCAATGGCCCTAGAGATTTTTGCTTCCTGGTACTCACATCTTTGTGAGATTTCCTCCCATATTGAATAGTGTAGACTTGTGTGAACAATGGGGTATTGTGGAAGTGATGGTAAGTGACTTCTAAGACTTCCAAGAAATTGTAACTTATTCTCTGGGCTTGTTCACCTGGAGGGAGCCAGCTGCCATGCTGTGAGTACACTCAAGCAGCCTTGTGGAGAAGTCACATGGGAAGAAACTGAAGCCTTCTCCAACAAGCCACACCAACTTGCTGGCCATGTGAACAAACTACCTTGGAAGCGAACCCTCCAGGCCCAGCCAAGCATTCAGATGACTGCAGTCCCAGCTAATACGTTCACTGCTACTTCATGATATAGCCTAAGCTAAAACCTAAAGAAACTACAAGATAATAAACATTATTGTTGTTTTAGGCCTCTAAATTTTGGAGTGACTTGTTATACAACCATAAATAACTAATATACCAAATGATGCTGATGTGACTGGCTCAGGGAACACAATTTGAGAATAACTGCATCTTTTTAACTCTTGTACCTAGCTTGTACCCAGTTTATAGGTGCACTCAACAAATATTTTGAAATTCATCAATGAGTAAATGAATAGGTACAGAATGAATGAAGGTTAGACTTAAAGCTACAGTATTAGGGAGCCACTGAGTTGTGGAACAACATGACATCAGAAGCCCTTGGAGATACGAGTTGAAAAAGGTTCATAGAATTGAAAATTGCTGAGTGCCCATGCTGGCACAATTGCCAGCTGATGGGAAATCTCCACTCTAGTTTCTGATGTCTTTCTACAAGGATATGGCCTATGAATTGCCATCTCTACTTCTCCTGATCTACAGGAAAGCCTGCCAGGACATCCATCTGCCCCATGCACCTTGATCCCCCTCAGGGACCTTCCATCTATCTCTTTGCTATTCTTTGGCAGCCTTTGTTCTGTCCAGAATCCCTCCCCTCTCCTCCCTTTCTTTCCTCTAATGGCCTTGCCTTCTTTGACAAGCCTTCTGGGGCTCTTCTCAGGCTCCACTGCTGTTGGCTTCCTATACACCTTCCTCCCCCCAGCCTGGGTTGTTTTATCCCCTCTACATTATTTCCATAAATCACTTCAGAGTACAGTGCTACAAATATTTACCAAGTACCAGCTGCCTACACCAGCCAGCAGTAAGCTGAATATATAAAGAAAAATAAAACTCATTTACATGCAAAAGATCTCTGTTAAAGATTTCGAAGTAACCCTGGACCAGCATCTCTGTTTCAGCTAAAATCCCTCCATACCACACACTAACCTTCCTTCTTCCTCATTGCCTTCTCTTTTAAAGCTGATGTGGGCACAGGGTTTGTGACCAAAGGCCTAAGCTCCATACCACCTCATCTAGTGGCAGAAACTTGTACAAGAAGATTCAACAAGAACATCTGCATTGAAGGGGATCTTTTATCAAAACCACAGCCCAGGAGAAACCCTCTACTCCTCCATATATTTCATTAGTGCATTTGGAAC